GCCCTTCCTTCTCCTATGATTGTTCTCTCAAGGGCATGTGTCCACTTGAGGTAAATGTACTCTGAACACTTTAGGAGACAAAGAAAACCAACACACTGTTCTCGTGCCCTAAGAGTCTTGTGCAGACATTTCACTTGAAAATTTCATTCTCCTCTCCAAGTTATATAACCCCTCTTCCTCCTCTCTGTGTATAGGTCTATACTTCCTTTATCTTATTTCAACAAGGAAACAAGCATGAGTACCAAGACCAGAGCCCTGGCCTGAACCACAAAGTTCACTCCCACTTCCCCCATGGCGCCAAGGACTGCCCAGATGGAGCATGTGACTCAAAGCTGCTGACGTGAGCACACTCAAGCCCATGGAAATCAACTTCCCCGCTAAGGCTGCTGTCTTCACAGGTGTGATGACACAGACATTAGCCACTGTGGAAAACACGACATTCCACTGCAGGATCACAAGAAACAAACTCACCAGACAGATAGGAAGGAAAGGTTCTCTTCATTGCTACAGAATTCACCTTTTGTTGTTTCCACTAAAACGAGGAAAGCAGCCTTCTGAGCTAACCACAGGGTCTTCCCAAGTCACTAAGCACAAAGCTCTTCCTGGGACATCCATGCAACACTAAAACCAAAGTTCCTGGTATGGCAACAGAAATTTCAGAAGCGATAAACAGACTCTATTTACTAGAGAAAATGAAATCTATGTGCTTGACTTAAAAATCTCTGTTAAGGGGACTGTTGGGAAACGGGTTACCATGCATCTCTTGCAAACAAGGCAGTGACTGCCCTTTGCTCAAACTATCTTTGAGGAGTGTTTGTACAGCGAAAGGAGTCCTGATGGTGTAGTGGTTAAGCCTCAGCTGTTAAGCAAAAGGCCAGTGATCCGAACCCATCAGCCACGCCATGGGAGAAAGATGTGGCAACCTGCTTTTGGAAAGATTACAGCCGTGGAAAACTACGGGGCAGTTCTAGGCTGTCCCACCATCCGAAGGCAAAGGTAGGTGTGCTTGCTGCCCATTACCAAAGATCTGGGTTCCTTAGGCTCAGGGTTCCTCTCCTGTAACACAACCCCCAAGTATGCAGCTGTCACCTGACCCTCTTCATGTTGGCCTGTGGAAACTGGCGTTCAGAGAACCAGCTCAGGAATGCTGATCCTCCACCTCGGCTACCGATGCGGGTAAATCCCGTGTCTTCCATCAGCATCCAGGAAACTGCAGCAGACTGACTTGCAAAACCCCAGACCCTTCCCAGGTCTAGACAGGACCCTCCGACACTGAAGTCCTCTTCATCCGCTATGCAAGTGAAGCACTAATGGAGTTCCTAGCAGACTGAAACCCAAACAGCATGCCGTCCAGTCTCTTCTGCCCTAGGCTCTTTGCCTGCACTCTCCCTGCCCCCAATTCAATCTTCACAAAGAAGCAAACAACAGCCTCACACGGAGAAATGGATCGTATTACTTCTTCACTTAAAAGCCTTCAGTGATGAGGAGGAGCATGAGTACTAACATCTACTGAGCAGTCAGCCTCCCTCAAGCGCTCCGCTAAGTACTTTCCACACATGCAGTTAATCCCAACACCAACTTAGTGAAATAGATATTGCCCCCATTTTATCAGAAAGAGAGGCACAGGAAAGATCAGAAGCTTGTACAAGATCATGTGGAAGGCAAGACTCGAACCTGGTAAACTGGCTCTGGGGCCCAAAGCCTATCTATTACAGCCCTGGGAAGGGAGAGCGCACTCCTATTCCTTCAGGGAAGGGTCTATGAAGCGGGAGAACTGCTGTCATTTGCTGTTAGCACATGGCTGGACACAACAGATTACAAACTTTAAAAACTGCACTCTTAAATTTCATCCTCTCAATGACCTACCAGGAATTGTGAGGCCACTTGTTTTGTACTAATGCCCTCTAGGTAATTATTCTTTAACCAGGAGCCATTAGCGCAAGGGCTTTACCTCACAGGGCCCTAAGACCCCCTGCCCTCTAGGTAATTATTCTTTAACCAGGAGCCATTAGGGTCGGGAACTCCAGTAGGTTCCCCACGCCTCAGGGCTTTACCTCACAGAGCCCTGAAACCCCCTCTCCTCCTTTACTACCCCCTAGCAACAACCAATCATTTATCGACTAATACATCTTTGCTTTTGTGTTACTCCACCCTGTATTTTTCCTATAAAATTGTAATTGTAGTAGAGCACGGGGTCTTTTGCCCAATGGTGTAAGCGGAGACCCTAGCTCGAGCTAGCCAATAAACTTTCCTTTTGCTTTTGCATTATCGTGTCAGTGGTAGCTTCCTCGCGCTGACACTCCTTTCAAGACCTGAATTCAACACAACCATCACTACTCATGAACAAACTGCGCAGCTCAGAAGCCACCTGGCTGAACTGGGCCTTGCCTGGAGAACGAGTCTACTGTCCCTGAGGATCCCACCTGCCACCTTCTCTGCAGCCAACCCACTGTCCAACAGAAGCCTCTGCACACAATTAGACAAAAGAAACAAACCAAAAAAGAAATCATGTCCTGGGAAGCTAGCTTATTTAGCAACTGCTGAGCCAGCCTATGAAACCTGCACGGATTCAGAAGTGGCCAGAGGACCTGGCACCAATCTCACACCAGTCACTAGAAAAAAGAGCTAGGAGAAAATTCCTCACAAGTAACAGTTGAGAAAACACACACAGCACCCATTAAGAACCAGAGTCTGGAGGAATGCTGCCTGGTGAATCAAGAGGCAGTGGTGGCAGCAGTGGTGGACATACGTGTGTGTGTGTAAACATCCATTTCAGAAAGCAAGAAAAAGAATTTATTTTCTAGCCATGTTGGAGATACTACGTATTTTTCACATAGGAAGCGCCCATGTAAATAATAGCACACACGCATATAAAGCACGCTCATAGGAAACAAACGCTTAAAATACAGTAATACACACTTGTAAAGTGAGTGAATGTCTGAGAAAACTATCTAGCATCTTTACAAGGAAACCTGGTGGCACAATGGTTAAGTGCCTGGCAGCCAACCAAAAGGTAGGAGGTTCCAACCCACCAGCTGCTCTGTGAGAAAGATGCAAAACCTGCTTCCCTAAAGATTACAACCTTGGAAACGCCATGGGGCAGGTCCAAGGCATCCTAGAGAGTCGAGCTAAGTCAGAACCCACCCGGGTTTAGCATCTTTACAGCCCAGCTGTTTATAAAGACTTTTGAACTTAAAATTTAATGTGTTAGAAATGGAATACTATGCAACACTGAAGAATAACGCAGAATCTGCAAGACACCGCATGACGTGGATGAACTTGAAAGACAGTAGACTGAGCGAAAAAAGTCAATCACAGAAGAACAATGGATGAATTAGTTCCTTACTGTAAAAAGTCAAGGACAAGTTTACATATGGAAGGCAGCTTTCTTTGTTGGTTACCGGGGTGGGAGGGGAGGAAACACTGCAAAAATAAATAATAAAAAAAAATTAACGTCTTGGAAAACGATCGGCCATATTCCCACTTCTTCCTACGGGTAAACTCAACTCCGAAAAGTTAGAAATAACTCATAATTGCCTAGTGTCTTAAGTGTGGGGGACACAACCGCAAAACGTCCCCGCGTTCCTCATTCCGCTCCAGAACCTCCTCCCCACGGACGACCCACCTGCTCCCCCGCCCAGGCCCGCGACCACCCAGCCGCGCGTGCCACCGGCCGCCTGCCTCTCCCGGGTCCCGTTCCACGTGTGTACGGCAGGGACGACGGTAATAGGAAGTCGACGGACGAAGAACACAGCAAGGAGACGCACGTCCACGAACGCTCTCGGCAACTCAAACGCCGGGCTGAGAGCGTGCGTGGTGACCGGGCGCCTGGGGAGGTGAACGGCGCGGGGCTGGGCTTTCAAGGCCTGGGTCCCAACTACGGGCTTCGCAGAACGCGCCGGGCAGTCCGCGCAAGCCTCGTCCCCGCTAAACTTTACTCCCACTGGACTCATGCAGCCAGGCCGGGGAGGGAAAGGAGGCTGAGGGAGCGCAGGCGTCCGGACGCCAGGCTCCCCAAGGCAGGGACCCGGACCGTGGGCTGGGGTCTCGGAGTGGCCCCCCTCCCTGCAACGGCAGCCTCGCCACCCGCTTGGCGCCCAGGACGCAGTCCGCCCCCTCCGATGCTCTCAACAAACGCCGGCACCCGGTGGTCCCAGGTGAACACAGACCCCCATCTCCCCCGGCCGGGCCCGAGCGACGGCGCCTTCAGCCAGTGGGCGGGCGGGTGGCCTGCCCGCGGCAGCCGAACCAATGAGGAGAGAGGCTGCGGTAGGGGGCGGGCGCAGGCGGCCCTCAGCGTCGCGCCCGGGCCGCTCCCTCCTCAGCCCCGAGCCCCGCTACCCCGCGGACCCTAACCCAGAAGGGAGAAAAGGCCGCTCACCGCCCCTTCGCCGCCGCCCCGCGCTTCCGGATGAGCTCGTCGAGAGATATGTCCGCCATCTTGCACTGCCGAGCGAGCCGAGAAACAGCTCTCACTCCCTCAGCCCTCGATCCCGCCCTTCGCCCACGACGGAGCGACTAGCAGCTTCCGGTGTTCGGCCGACGAACTCTCGCGACAGCTGAAACGAAGCACGGGACGGAAGGGGTGGGGCTGCTCCCGTGAGCCTTCGCTGTGTTTGCTGCTTATTTGCATACAGTGGTTTGGCGAGTTGTTGTACAGCTATTTTCCCCAGCTAAAGAAATAAAATGAAAAGTAATATAAAATAATTTAATAATAAATTAGGTAAACTTGAAAGGAACAGGGATATCATTTCAATGAGTCATTTTTTATTTTCACCGGAGGGCTAATGGGAATGCGATTTGTTACCTAGGAAGTTAAGCGTACATTTTCTTTATGCCTTAAACTTATGAGTAAGGAAAATAACGATTCGGGGTGACGCCCGGATCCTCACTGCTAATGTGAGACGAATTTTTGAGCGGGTAAAGGTCGTCCCCAAGGTGACCCGCCTACTTTGCGGGATGCCTGGGAGTTGCGATCTGCCCGAACCTTAAACTTTCCCAAAAGTAGATCTTGAATAGTGGAAAGCGCTGCTTTTTCATCGTAGTGACTTGCTGGTGGCTTGTTCAGGGTATTTATTATTCTACGTTGTACTCATTTCTTCCCAGCTGGGCTTTTTAAGTTGAGTTCTTACATGTAATTGTGGATGATACCCACAATTTTCTTGTCAATTTTCATACGGTTCATTCTCACAGTTGTGCCACCTTAAACCAGTTCACTGAAACTACTCAACCTACAATACTTAGCCTCGCTTGTAGTTGAAGTTTCAATTTCAAGATAATGTACGTAAGTCTGTGCTCACATATTTATGGAGTTGGAGTTCCCCCTGACTTACTTCCTTACAGCCCACACTTACCAGTGTGACTTTCACAAGCACATGGCTTCATCTCTGTGCCTGTCTTCCTGGTCTTGCCTAGGTCATGGTGGTGGTCTTAGGTGCGTCAAGTCAAACTCATAGCGACCGCATCACGACAGAACGAAACACTGCCTGGTCCAGCGCTGCTGTTGTTGTTGTTGTTAAGTGCCGTCCAGTCGTTTCCGACTCATAGCGACCCCATGCACAGCAGAACGAAACACTGCCCGATCCCGCGCCAGCCCCACGATCCCTGCTATACTTGAT